TAGCTACACACATGGTCACTGTATGTCTTAAATTAAGATCGAGAGATATTAAAAACTTCCGATTCTCATTCAAAGCATAAGATTTTATATTAGTACTAACATTTGATTCACATCATTAACCAAAAAACTAAGGAATTATACAAACATGATATGTAAAGAAAATAAATTATATTTTGTTGCATACATAAAAGTGAAAATACAAGAGTTAAAGTTATTTTAGATGTCACTTGGATAGTATAAATACACTCTTTACACTCCATTCTCCTCCAAATATCTAATTTTTCACAAAGAGATTGGCTAATGATTATTAAATGTAGTATCCTACACTTCCCTAGCCTCCCTTAGACTTTACTCTAAGGGGGCACTACAGTTTGGATTGAACTCCATAGAAAAATATGACAGAACTTTCTACTAAAATAAAATAAAAACTATTTATACAAAGTGTAGAATTGGACTCAGGAATCTCGATGCTTGACATGTGGTGTCATAGCGTTATAGAATGAACTAGCACCTCATTGCTACTAGGCTTGCTCTAATGTAGTGTTGCGCTAACTTGGTGAAACTATTGGTTAAATTAATGTGTTGCTTGCCTAATTTTATGTAGCTTTATCTTTTTTCAACTGATCCACCATGGTGTTGTAATGTTTAAACTACAGTGCTTAAATGAGTAATATGGCATTGCAGCATAGTGAAGCTCAATGATCTAGTGCTCAAATTCTTAAGACTCAGGTATTGCGGTGCTGATTTTTGGTGTTGCGGTGCTATGAAGGACTTGGATACTGGCCTTAGCTCCATTTGGGGCACTAAATTAATTTCAATTTTTTTTATGCTCCAACACTTTTAAAATTTCATGATCAAGTGTCGAGGTATTATGTATGCTACGGTGTTAATAGTTAGAGCACTACGACGCTAGTTCAAGACTTATGATTTTTTCTCCTTTTTCTTGAGCATTTTCATCACAATATAAACTAAAAATAATATTTGGAATGAGTAAAGTTATGCAATTTTAATTTGAAAGATCATAATTAATTATCCTAATCAACCATCCGTATTGAAATGGTGTAATAACCTATTGATTAACCTTGTAGACCAAATAAAAGTTTATAATTTAAGATTAACAAAATGTAAGAAAATACTTCACTATGTTAATGTAATTTGGAATGACTAAATTTATTCAATTTTAATTTGAAATATCATAAGTAATTATCCTAATCAACCATCATTGTTGTTGCTTACATTGAACTTATCTAGTACAAATGTAAATGTAATGATGACCACTGATTTTTAGATATGAAAAATATCATTTAGAAATCAATTTTGGAGGTTTAAGAAATTCATTAGTCATCCATTATATATATTATTTTACTTTCATTATCCAATTTGATTTAAATATTAGGATACCTTTAGGGATTAAGCTTTATCTAATACCAATTTTTGAAGTACTCATGTTCTTTTCTTTTTTATTTTCATGTTTGTACACATTTTTATCTTTTGAGAACTAATAATATTTTTGAATATATGATTACCATTTTCCTTCTAGTAACCCTATCTTTAATTAATGTAAGGACATTAGTAAGTGTCGAGGTATTATGTATGCTACGATGTTAATAGTTAGAGCACTACGACATTTGTTCAACACTTATGATTTTTTCTCCTTTTTCTTGAGCATTTTCATCACAATATAAACTAAAAATAATATTTGGAATGAGTAAAGTTATGCAATTTTAATTTGAAGGATCATAAGTAATTATCATAATCAGCCATCCGTATTGCAATGGTGTAATAACCTATTGATTAACCTTGTAGACCAAATAAAAGTTTATAATTTAAGGTTAACAAAATGTAAGAAAATACTTCACTATGTTAATGTAATTTGAAATGACTAAAGTTATTCAATTTTAATTTGAAATATCATAAGTAATTATCCTAATCAACCATCATTGTTGTTGCTTACATTGAACTTATCTAGTACAAGTGTAAGTGTAATGATGACCACTGTTTTTTAGATATGAAAAATATCATTTAGAAATCAATTTTGGAGGTTTTAGAAATTCATTAGTCATCCATTATATATATTATTTTACTTTCATTATCCAATTTGATTTAAATATTAGGATACCTTTAGGGATTAAGCTTTATCTAATACCAATTTTTGAAGTACTCATATTCTTTTCTTTTTATTTTCATGTTTGTACACATTTTTATCTTTTGAGAACTAATAATATTTTTGAATATCTGATTGCCATTTTCCTTCTAGTAACCCTATCTTTAATTAATGTAAGGACATTAGTAAGTCTACTAGTTCAAAGTAAAGTTTATAATGATTTTCATAATTTAATCTACAAACTCCCTTTCTAAACTCAATTGTTCAATGTTTAAATCATTAGTCTATGCTTATGTGCATAGTTTTTAAGTTCAAAGTGAGATAATAACTTAGATTGTTTTCTTTAGTTAATTATTATAAATTTCAAATTGAAAATTATTGTAAGCCTATCGATGTCATCAAAGACTCCATCATACTTAGGCTGCACAAATTTCTAAGAAACTTGTAAAATAAAGGTTTGGATCCTCAATAAGAAACCCCCCTAACAATGAATTTTACACCATCTGGATAATTATAGGTTTATGATCAAAATATTTGTTTGAATATTGGGTATGTTAATACTCTAGTGAATGTCATCTACGAATGGATTAACATAATCTCATAACCTAGGCTAGTCATCCTCTTGAACTGGGTTTATTATTTCAAAGTCTTTTGACACAATCTGTGAGTTGAACCATATATTTTGATGATTTCAAATATTATTGTATACTTTATTTACTTATTCATGTATTGCATCTGGATATTTAATTTATGTGCTACTAACCTTTCAAGTACATCATACATCGAGAAAATATTAAAAAACTAGCTCAAAATAGTATAACATCAGGTAAACATTAGTTTATATGAAATAAATTATGTATTCTTCATTTTTTGTGAGTCTATTTATGTATTAGGTGTATGTTGGCCAAGCAACAACACACACACACAAGGGGGTTAAAATTGAATGTTTTAACTTTTGTACTCAATGTACTGCATAATCCAAATTATACTGTAAGATCTATTTAAATAAAAATTAATTAAAATTATTTAATTAAGTGAGAATAATTAAAAATTAGCTTATAATTATTTTTATTGTATGATATTTATTTAAATTGCCTAATTTAAGTTTGTTAATTAAGGAATCAATTCAGATCTGAATTAATTATACACCTTACAGTGCACTATATATCATATAGTTTGATTGAGCTAAGAACTTTGTTGATAAACTTTTATCATCTTGTATGATCTAATAATCAATTTAAACTAATCATATTAAATGTTTTTTAATCACACGGGATGATCTTTCATGGCATTGAACTAATTGTACTATGCAATTTGGGTATATCACTACATGATCGAAGTTAATTTAATTAAGAATTAAGGTTTTTGAGAGCCCTCTTTATAAACTTACTATTATCTTGAGAAAAGGGTCTTTAAGCAGTTAAGTTATGTTTGTTTTATATGAGAGAAAGCTTGGATAGTCCAATTCATAAGGAAGAGATAAGGTGAAGTTGTGAGAGGGAGAAGACTCAGAAGAGCCTTGAGAGCTTCTAGGGAGTGTGAGGAGGTTTTACATAGTTGCTCCAGCTAGCCTGCACCTTAGGTCCTCCGATTATATTGGTGGAGCTCTAGGGAAAGAGTGCCTTTGAGGCCAAAGATCATTGACATCTCTGCCGGACCAAGAGATAAAAGGAGGTATGACAACTTCACCGAGCATGGGAGCGAAAGGAGGAAGCAATGACTCTGTTTGGTGAATCCATTAGGTTGAGGAGGAAAGGATGGATGTCATCTTCACCGAGTTGAGGAGGCCCAAAAAGGGATGACAACTCTACCAGGTCGATGAGGTAAAAAGATGGATAATTTACTGAGTTTGTAAACGTTATTCTCAACCTGGTCAAAGGAGAGGGGCTTCTCCAGTTAGTATAGGCTAAAGGAGAATCAGTATTTAGTTCAATAACCAAAGAGGAGGACCTTTGAGAAGTGGACGTAGGTCAAGTTGATCGAACAACTATAAATCTTGGTTTGTATTTATCTAATTTTTTACACTTTATTTTTACTTAAAATATACTTTTATTACACTCTAGTTGAACTGTGATTATATGATTGTAAGAGGATTTTGATGATTTGTGCTGATTGATCGTTTGTTATATATATAATTTTCTACAAAAACACAAAAAAAATGGTATTTGTTCTTTGTTTGGTTATTTAATTGGTAAATCATTTTGCTTAATCACTTCTGCATTATTTCAAGTTTCTTTTTTTAGCAAAATATTTTAAAAGATTTTTCTAACTCTTAATGAGGTAAATATTCAAATTCATGACCATGATATACTATAGATATGGATTTAAATCCAATAATATGATATTTAGATTCATATTATAATTGCAAATCATATTTTGCATCTAATACGTCTCTTACGGAATACTTATGAACTACAATCTCCTCAGTAAAATTAAATCCAATATTTTCAGTAAGCTTCTATTGAGAAGTTATTGATTTTTCTTAGGAATATTTAAGAGATGTAACAATTTTAATAGTAGGCTAACAGCATAACTTAGTACACAAAAATCTAGACGTGCTTCAAATGCCACTTTTCTTATATTGTAGCTTAATTCATGACTAAACTCTGGCTTATTACCTCTAATGAAGCAAATATAACTGACAAAACAAATCAAAAAATTGATCATTAGTAGCTATTAGCTTAATATCATATGTGTCTGTCAAAACTTATTACTTACTCTATCCAAATTGAATTTCATTTTTCAATAAAAGTTTTAATTTACCACTTAGTATGTTTTACATTGAGCTGACATGATAATGTAACCAAAGGTTTGATAACAATTTGGTCAAAGAATTTCAATAAGAAATTATCATTAAATGGGGAAAAAACTAATACTGAAACAACAAATAGAGTTCTTGAAACAATATGAAATATCATATACGAATGAATCAAATACATAGATAAAGGGGGCCTAAAGAGCACCCATGAACCACAGATACAACCAATATCACTTAAAGAACTCTACATGCCCTCCAATATCACGGCAAAGCATTTTTGCCTGAGCAGCCAGCTTTCTGCTCTTACCAATTATCCTGCCAGTCAGATCATGCCTTGGTTTAGGCTCATAAGACTTCGCCTCCCCCTCATTCCCCATCATCAACGCCTGCCTCGCGGGCACCACACTACCCCACCAAAAGTCTTGCAACATTTGATGCATCAGCTCCCAGTAGTCAAGATCCCGAAAGATGCGAAACACTACACTTCCATTTGGCGTCCAGCAATACAAATCCACCCAATTCCTGTCCATTATCTCCATCTGGCCCTGCACCTGGGGCATATAGTAGTATGGCACAGCTTGCCATGGCAAACCCAGCTCTGGCTTCCCTTTGTTGTAAGGACACTTCACTTCTAGTATCCCAGCATTGGGATAGCAACCCACAAGACCATCGGGGGAGGCACCAAGCCACCCCGATGTCGCTTCGGCATGCACCGCAAACCCTAAGAAGCTCACTTCTTGACCTGTCATCCCCTTGTAGCATTCAATTGCCGCTGCCTCATTAACCACTCCCCAGTTCATGGCAGCCACTGCAGCGGCTTCAAGAATGTTGGATTCTGGTGAAAACACCTTCTGTTGCCATAGCTCGGACCGACGGTTTCCCTTCCAGAAACCCAATGCGGTGCTGAAGGAGCTCGTTGTCAGCTTGTCCTTTCGAAGTGTGAACCACTCTTCTGAACGCTGTGGCGGATCAAACGATGTGAGGTGTGATGGAACTGGCAAAGATGAATGGGATGGTTGAAGGAGGGAAGAAGTAAATGTTCCCGGGATGTAGCCTTCATAATTCTTCTTTGATAGGATTAATTTGGAACGGGCAAGGAATGCGTGGGTCATTACGCCAACGGAAAGAAAGCTGGAGCTGGATATTCGGTTCAATCGATTGGCCCTACAAAAGTTATGTACTGCTTGATGGTCAGAAGAGCATGCTGGAGTTATATAATGCAGAGTTTGCTCTAAAGATGGAAATCTAGCTATAAAACTATATTATTTGAAGAAACAAAATAAGTCATTTTTTTAAGTACCCAATTTGGCTACAAAGAAGTTAAGTATCCACAAACCGACAAAATTGTTTATAGTTCAAAAGCTATTCTGGCTTGACGAAGAGTTTTGCATCAATCATACTCATTGCTTGATCAAACAAGGAGTTTCATAGACAACGAAATTAAGGCAAAGAATTTGATACCAAACTTCGAAGTTTCAGGGATTAATTTTGTGGAAAGGAATATACTTGTTGCAGAATCTTATACCAATCGAAATCCACAATGAAAGGAATATATGAGTGAGAAACAAGCTGACCGAAAAAAAAAAGTTCGTCAACAATAGATTTGGTATGAGATTTGTAATTGATTTAAAATATTTTAAGAGTGAGGAAAAAAAGGATCAATGAAATTTTGATTTTGTTTTCTATATCCTCAACAAAAAAAAAGTCTAAATAATACGAAAAAGACAAGGAAGCGATTCGTTCATATACTCACCAAATATGACACTTATTCAAAACCAGCATTTTATACTAACTCGCACTATGAATTACATGTAGGAATTGTCAATACTTGATTCTTGAGTTTTCATATCAGCTAGCTCAACCCTATAAGTCGACTCCACGCTTTATAACAAGATTTGTAATGAGTAGTGCATGAGTCACCTATAGGCAGTGAAACTTAGTGGTCACCTTTAATGTGTGGCATGAGGTAAGGCCCAATAAAGGTGATGGTGAATCCAACAAAATGGAAAATACCCCTATAGACCAATTTCCCCATTTGTGACAAGATCAATAATGAGTAACGCACGAATAACCTATAATTGACATGTTTAGGTGGTTACCTCAACGAAGACTTAAAAATCATGTAAAGCACAGCCCACCTAAGGCAACATCATGCCAAGCTCGTGTGTTGGAATTCACAAGGTGATGAGTAAATTTATATGACTCTACCAACAAAAGAAACACACACAATAACATCATTCATAAATCACCGAGTCAATTGAGAAAAAGGCGCAATACTCAGATATTGTGGAGTTCAATATTTAAAGTATTTTGGGAACAATCTTAGAGGATCTCGATATAACTCTACTCTAACTCATTAAGGCACTAATTTCTAATGTTATTGTTCTGTCGATTTCAAGTATTCAATAGGTAATCGACGAATCATAACACTTGGACTCATACCTAGTTGGCACATAAGGGAACTCAACCAAGGACTGCAAAAACCCAACTCAACAGAGCCCCTAAAGGGGGGTCGCTGCTCACAAGGAATGCAAAGAGTCCTCCTGCATGTTAAACAATTCGTCATTTTGCCTTCCATCAAGGTGTAGCCGCTCACCGCTATATGTGATGAAGCATCACCAACTATGTTGTCACCTTAGCTACAGGAAAGCAACCATCCAAGTGGATTTCAGCTCACCCATTATAGCTAGCCAACCGCAGAGACTATTTTTCCCGCAACCTAAACTCAAATGCCTCCCACCTCAAGGAAAGTTGACCTCAAGGAAAGTCGGAGCTCCACCACAGGTTAGCGAAGTCCTAGAGACGTTAGTCAGCTACAGCCCTCTCGACTTAATACTCACCAAAAAACTCTCCTCAAGCATTCAACACTATGATACCTACCCCTAAGATAAAGAAACATAATTAAGGGGAGAAATCATCCATTAAACCAGTTAGGGTGTGACACGTGTCTAAGACTATCTGTAGTGAGAGTCATTATCTTATGCATTTTTTATTTCTTTGTTGAAGTAGTCTTTTCTATAGCTCTTAGATCCAAACTTAAAAAAAAAAAAAGATGAAGGGGAACATTTTAGATTTTTTTTCATTTTTTTACACTTGTACTATAGATCTTTTAGCTTGTGGATTACAACCTATAATATTTTCCCCTCTTTTTCTCCCATTCCCACATAGGTTCTCTGTTGTTCCTCTAAAGCTAACCTACAAGTAGGATCAGGTGTCACCCATTGACAAACTTGGATTCAACATCGTGAAAGATGCGGTGAGCACGAATAGATGCTAGTGACTAGAAGATGGACACAACTTGACGAGCAAGCTCTCCTCAAACTCTAAATAAACATGGAGAAATTGAATTGTACTATTCATCATGATCACATGAAAATGGATGAAAGATTAACAAAAAATGATATAGAATACCCTAGTGAGGCTACCAAGGCATGTGCAGAGAGAGAGAGAACACCCCAGAAGGATCATCCAACTTGACAATTTGCCACAGAATACCGAATAGTATAGCACTAACCTCTATACCTAATCCAAATCCCACTCGCACGATGATGAGTGATAATGAGTAAAACCCATCCACTAGCATGCAAAAGGACTGAACAATAAGTGATTAATGCCTTCTCTAGGGAGACTGCAGAGGCAAGGTCGCCTGTGAAGTTTAAAGTCTCACACTTGAGTGCCCTATAGGGGAATGACTGATTCTGTAGACCATGTATCAACCTTTGAGTCGATGACATCACTAGCAGACATTGACGATGCTTTGAAGTACCAAATATTCTTCACAACCCTCAAAGAATCAGAATTAAGATGTTCACTCGCCTAAAAGATGTTACACCCTACTTTGGGTCCCTTTACGGTCAACCTGGAGTATAACAGAGAAGGAAAATCTAAACAGACCCCTTCTTACTAACACCCATTATGAGCTACTTCTATCAGAATCAGATGAGTAAAAAGTAATATATTTAGACTCTCCTAGCATATCAAGTTTTATGCTTAATAACAAGAAGCATACAATATATCTCAATTAAAGTTCAAATATAATCAAAAGAATTTAATGAAAATAAACTTCACATTTTTCATATATGGAAGAAAATAAAGTAAAATTTTGGGGTCGATTGTATGCTTACTTTGCTTATGTTTTGCAAAGTTTTGAATGTTATACTAGAAGCTTCAAAAGATATCAGAAGCTCTACTGAAAATGAAGTCAGAACTAGGTGAGTCCTTTAGGTGATTATTGTAAGATTCCAAAGGGAAATATTTAAAGTGAAGGATTTGGAACCAGATGTTGCCGAGGCTGATTTAACTCAAGGACTTAGGAAGGTCCTTTTCACTATGCACTCTGCTAGCAACAGTCGAGAATCCTTGTTGAATTGCTCGAACTCACAGACAACCACATCAATGTGGAGGAATACAACTGAGTGGCCGAATCCTCTTCAACCACTCGCTCCAAGAGCTTGCTGCAACAAGAGAATTGTAACAAGGGACAAATAGGGAAAGGTGTCGATCAAGGGATAGGAGGCCCCTTGTGCCATGAAACCATCATTGAGAACATAAAGGGCACCCTTGGCGGCTAGGCCCCTCAAGATTGTTGGTCCACCCACTCTGAGGATAAAGGAGCTTAGTTGCACCACTTGTTGTTATCACAAGAAAGTACACGCCATGGCCCTAATTATCCCACCTATACTCCATTGGAGTATAATAATCGAGCTAGTGAGACCATTCAAAACAAATAGTTTTTTAAGCACCCTACACCCATGAAAATGAGTGTACAAGCTCGAGATACATTAAGATGTTAAGCTAGGCCACTATACGGAGTGTCGCCAATTTTGAGGATTCGTTGAGGAACTCATCAAAGATGGCAAGTTGGAGTTTACACTAGTTGAACATAGTAAACATGCAAGTAGAAATGAGCTTTTTTCAACTCGCTACATTCACATAGAAAGTGTGGTGCCTACTATTATGGAGGGTGAGCAGGCCGACACCCCTACTGCAACTAGGAGACTAAAGACTGCAAAAGTAAACTCGACTAGCATCTCACTAGCACCAATGAAGGGTGTTACCCCGATCACATTTTGCTAAGCTAATAAACTTGCAAGAGGGAACCCATACAATGACACTATATTCATTACTGCATTAATCGCAACTATCAAATAAACAATATCTTAATTGACATAGGGAATTTTGTCAATCTTATCTTTAAGACTGTCTTTGATAAGATAAACCTTCTTGTTTCCTAGCTTACTCTTACTGCAAGCCCACTATATGGTTTCTCTAGAGAACATCAAAAAATAGGAGTGCTCTCCCTACGAATCACCTAGGGTGAGAGCCACTAGCAGTACACTATAATGGTGAACTTGATTATCGTGGAAGCTCTTGCGACATACAATGCCATCTTGGCAGGTCCTTGCTAATGAACTCATTAAGGGTGGTAGTGTCAATCTACCATATAGAGGTCAAATTCCCTATTGATGGAAGGAGTTAACTGTGAGAGGCAACCTCACTCAATCCCACACTTGCAACTTCTGATCAGTGAGAAAAGTGGAGACTTCTCCAAATGAATTCTTATGCTGGGACTTCCTGAAAACTAAGAAGTGCATCCATCAGCGTGGAACACTAAAGCGACCTCATCCAAGCTCTCAAGGTTGGCTTGGATGTCTTTGCTTGAATGGCTATGGAGGTCAATGAGGAAGTCGCCCGCCATAAAATAAAAGTAAGGACAGATTTCATGCTCGTCTAGCGGAAAATAAGAAAGAAAATGGCTACACTCACTAAGCTCATTCAATAAGTAAAGAAGCTTCATAGTAGTGCCTTTATCGGGTTGGCATAATGCCCTTACAAGATCTCCAATACAGTGATGGAACATAAAGCGCCTCACAACTGGAGACTGTGTTGACTTCACATATCTAAACTCAGCATGCGCAAAAGATGGCCGCCCTCTACGCGCAATAGACTCACTATTCAACTCAAGGGTAAGCTATTTGGTGACGAGCTTGTTGGAAGCTTTAGGCTATCACCGAATAAGGATGCATCCATGCCACTACAACAAGACCTCTTTTAACAATTATGTATTAAAATATTTACACTTCCATTGTTTTAATTTTGGTATTAGGATTTTTTAGGAATAAACTTTATCAGGTATCAATTTTTAATGTTCAAGTACTCAAATTCCTTTATCATTTTTTT